AGCAGCAAAAATCCCGTCACCAGCCACAACGTATCCATGACGCCAAGTGCCGAAACGCGCAGCCGGGATGTTGGAATCTGCACTAGTTCCTTGGCGCAGGGGGGGTACATCCAGTGACTTTGGAAAAAAGCCTCGTTTATTACAGGATGGGGACCCAAGATAGCTAAGTTGACATAAATATGGTTTAACTATGTTTAACTATGGTTTATGGTAGATATAACTATAGATAACTATAGTTCATGGGGTTTTTATAAACCAACAAACATCACTGGCGGGGGCACCATGCTGTAGAGAACAATGCTGATTTTACGATGGAAAAATGGTGAGTTAACTTTCATTTGTTTACCCTTCCGGTAATCAAACGTGACAAGCTGGCCCCGAACCAAATGGAGTTTTACCATATTGTAATTGCCATATTTGAAACACCCCGCAAAACATTGTACAATGGCAATGAATGTAAAACATTGCCATTTTTTACCATATTGTTTTACCATCATTGCACTAGATGGGGTATGTTTCATTGCCATATTTGACCAGATGCTATGCTTTGGCACTTTGGAGCATTTTTCGGCTGTGATTTCATGTGATTTGTGTCTCTGAGTTTGCATACAGTTATGGCCCAAAATACCAGTTACAAATAGTTATAACATCTTATAACATCTTAACCCCATTTATGGAATGTATAGTCCCATAGAAATAACCAGTTACCATTTGTTAAGTGGTAAAGGGCCATACATATCTGGTTGGTGATTTCAAACATGTGTTATTTTGATTTTCCATAATATATGGGATAATCCTTCCCATTGACGAACTCATATTTTTCAAGATGGTTATTGCACCACCAACCAGATAATTAATATACCCTCTGGTAAACTAACGTAACTATGGAAAATCACCTTTTGTTCATGGGAAAACTCACTATTTCTTTGGCCATTTTCAATAGCTATGTTAAATTACCAGAGGGTACATATACATGTTTAGACTTTAGACCCCTTTTCTTGCGGCTGTTGGTGACTCCCATTTTGATCACCGAAAAAAAAAAAAAACAGCCGAGATTGGCGAAGAAAAATCTCCGGTGGCTATATGGGATGATCCCTTGTTCTTTCCCATGGTATTCCTATGTCATTCCTATGTCATTCCTGGAAAGAAATGACATTGTTACCATATATATATATACACAATAGGAATATCCATGATAATTACGCATGAAACATGGGAATATGTTGGGAATGTGTAACCAACTAATGAATTTACCCTCTGGTAATTTAACCTAGCTATTGAACATGGCCATAGAAATAACTAGTGAGTTTTCCTATTAAAAATGGTGATTTTCAACAGCTATGTTAGTTTACCAGAGGGTATACATTAGGAATACCCATGATTCACGCATTCTGATATGATACGCATTCGAAAAGCGCATTCTGATATGTTGAAACATATCTTTCCAAAACAATCAACTTGAACTGTTGATTTCCCAATCTTAAGTTGCATCGCATGCCATTGCTTAAGTGATCCATTCCGACCATGCCCGGGAACGCGGGTTCGACGCCCAGGAGAACATTCTCTTGCAGTACCTGGCTCCCTATGTGGACGGCATCACCCGGGACCCCGCTCGGTCGTTTTTGTTGGGCGAACGCCTCAAAGATAGCAGTGGGAAATCCACGATGAATAGAGATTTTACCCTTTGGTAAACAAACAAAAAGCTATTGAAAATTGCCATTTATATATAGTTGATTTACCTATTAAAAATGGTGATTTTCCATAGTTTTTTGTATGTTTACCAGAGGGTAATGGGAACATCATCTATGACTTGATGATGTGTATAGTTACATATGGGTTAGATGATGTTTGATGAGTTCTGGGAGGGCCTTCTGGTCTGTACCTGTTAGTGTCTTGATTGGTTCAGCTATGTTTGGTTTTATCCCTACCAATGGGGATTTAATGGGTTCAATGATGAGTTGTTCGGGGGTATATTGGTTCATAAATTGGGTGCCAAGAATGGCAAAATTAGCCCTTATCTAGTTGTGCGATATTTCCGCCTAACATTGACTCATATAAATCTGGATCTGATTAGATGTGCGGTTGACATCTCAACCTAGAATGATAATCCCCAATAGGTTATTTTGGCGGATGGGGTGATGGCACTACTCGGGAATTTGTTTGTCTCACACCTGGGAATTTTGACCACTCCCGAACTTGATCGAAAATGTCGCCTAGGCTCATGTGTAATTACTGGGAAACTTTGGTTTGAATGGCTTGATTCCGGGCCATGCTGAAAAACGATAACATCCTACTATAGATCAAGTGTTTTGTTGCGGATCGTTTTGGTTGGCCCTTTTATTGTTAATTGTTGGATATCATTCCCGTACGGATTCCTCATGATACCTTCCTTATGTAAAATGTAGTTTTTGATGTAGTTGCATATATGTACACGATAATATTATATATACATATATTTATATTTATATTTATTACATAGATACATAGATACATGCATACATGCATGACATGCATACATGCATACATACATACATGCATAGATAGATAGGTACATGGATAGATGGGTAAATGGATAGATGGATAGATGGATAGATTGATAGATGGATAGATGATGATGGATGGATAGATCGATAGGTAGTTACATAGGTACGTAGGTACATAGGTGCATAGGTACATAGGTATATAGGTATATAGGTACATAGGTAAATAGGTTTATAGGTACATAAGTATATAGGTACATAGGTACATAGGCACATTTGACATAGGTATATAGTTACATAGATACATATATATATGCATGCATGCATGCATGCATGCATGCATACATACGCATACACACACATTTACATACACATACACACATTCACATGCACATGCACGACATACACATACATAGGCCTACATGTTTACTTAATTTACATTACATTTTATTGCATCGTATTTTTATAATCATCCTATATGTTGTTATATTGTGTTACATTAATTTACATTATACATACATACATTCAGAGATTCACACGGTCACACACACACAATGTTGACTGAGGATCAGCAAAACTCCCAGCTTATTAAGCGGTGGCAGTAGCAATTTAGATAGTAACCTGTTACCATTTTGGTGGTGCCCAGATAGGCCAGTGTCCCGATTTTCCAGGTCTGGATCGATTGGATCCCCATTTTCCACAAACAAATCACCCCACCAGTGATGTTTGTTGGTTAACAAAAGCCCCATGAATACTATAGTTATAAGATGTTATAAGTACCATATTTTTACCATATAGTTATTCCATATAGTTATTGGAGTTATAAAGATCCCCATTTTTCAACAGGACAAATTGCATTTGGGTGTCTTCAGCGGCTCCTTACAGTGCCTCGGTGAACTTTTGGGTCTCCATGAGTTTCTGCCCATGGGAGGTTCAATACCCTCTGGTAAACATACAAAAATCTATGGAAAATCACCATTTTCAATGGGAAAATCCACTATTTCTATGGCAATTTCCAATAGCTATGTTAAATTACCAGAGGGTACGTAATGTTAATTGAAACCATATATTTATATGCAATGTGGCGGGTTACGCGGAAAACACTTGAGTCTTAGAATGTAATTACCATGAGGTCCTTCCCAAAAATCATCAAACATCTAGTTGAAGACATCAAGAACAAACGAAGCATGGACGTTTTAGCAGCATTTCCTGTATGAATTGGTGCCTGTTTCGGATGCGGGTTGCGCCCAGCATCCCACAATCATGAGGATGGTCCGAGACGTTGATGCTAAGAGAAGCAGGAACTCCACAACAAAAATCCTGGCAAGACAAACACGGAAACCTCCGCAAATGTTCCCAGCAAAGCCAACTATGCCAGAATTGATTCTGACATATCCTTATGATTTTCATCGTTTTTTTGATGGTTTGAATTCCCATGATACCCCGGGACCAAGATTTCCAACCTGGCGGCAGGTTGGAGCATTTGGAAGTTCGTCCTGATGCCTTGAGTACCCTAGGCCGCTCGGTCGGCTCGGCTCGATCCCCGTAGATTTGGCGGGAGTTACCCATGAATACGTGGGGAGTTATCGGGATACACATGATGATATAATGATGGTATCCACATAATAATCATAATACATTAGACATGAACATCATGAACCAACAAATACCAACAATATGATATGGTTTAGTTTTCTCATTCTCCGAACATGGTGGAATAACAAGGGATTTCATGGCAACTAGGCGACTAGGCTATTGGGAATCGACCGGGTCTATGCTTCCAATTGATGTTCTACCTGGAGGCCGAACCCTGTTCCGAACTGGGCAATTCCCTCAATCTCTTGGACGAAATTTGGAAGTCACTGTTTCAAGATTTCACGATTTGTATGGCGTTTTTGATTATTTTGATTGGCCACCAGAACCCAACTAGTTCTCAATCGCTTTCGGGTCCGGTGGACCCCTCCTTTCGCACTGTTTCTTGTAGGCTGCCGCCAAGCACAGAATGTCCATAGTTTCAGGGTGATGTACGCATTGGGTGCTACTACAACCTGAATCAACCCTAGTATTGCCTTGCTGATTTTCAACGACTTGAGAAAAAGGAATGTTACAAATTGTTGAATCTCTGGTAGTCCGACATAGCCATGATGGACAGGATAATCATGACAAATGGGCATACAGTAGATGCGGAATGTCCAGTGCTCAACTGGTTGTGCGACGCCCTGGTAGACAGTTTACGCGATGAGCGGAACAGGACATCCCCATTAAATAGGCACTAACTTTGGGAAGTCAGAAGTAATTTCTCACCAAATGCATGGGGGATTTTCCAGCATGCCATGGTCTGGTAATGTCGGGCAAATCCCATGAATTTCCCATGATAATTCCATGAAAGTTCTTGGTTCTATCCCTACTTTTGTTGAACAACTCCATATGATCCAAGTCCATTCCAAATCCGACTTGCCAGATTTACAGCTGGTATCGCCATATTGCTGGGTCAAAAAAACATGGGTATTGGAGAATTCAATGCAGTATGGCATATGGGGTCAGGGAAAGGGATTCACTTGGGCAATTTTCTCGCTCACGTATGGATGCTCTCAGAAGCGATCGCATCACGAACTTGCTCACTGTTGCTATAGACCACTTACCAAATGGGATGATGATCAAGCAACCCTTTTAAAAAGATACAAAGCTGATAGAAGAATAAGATCCCGCCAAAGGCACTTTGTGCTCAATAACCGGCCAGTCAGAGTTGCAGACAAAACATCCGCAGGTTGGGGCGGCTTCCGCGTGCGCCGCGGCCGCATCGAACGGATCTCTTTGGCGATTCCATGGACCAAGCTCTACACAGGCGGAGCGGATTGGAGCACAGGACGTGATCATTTTTGGGCTTAGTCATCTCATACAAAACGGCAGGAACCCTGTGCCATTTTTTTCCAGATGTTTAGCTTTTAACAGTTTAGGAGAGCTGGGAAGCAACCAGATACAGAGGACCTTTCCACAAACAGCATGGTTAAATTAAACATAATTAAGCACATATCAAGGTCAGTGGGATGATTGCACCACATGTATTTTGATATTTGGTGAATTTTGTTTATATGTTTTTGGGAGTGGCTAAACCAACCAATCCCAGAATTGAATGAACACATCATTTACCGAGTTCAACCCCCAATTTTCATCGTGGCAACCGTTTCTTGAAATTTTCCTAAATTGTCCAATTCTAAGTCCATGTCATGCCATAGCTAGAGAACCCAACACCTATAAAAATGTAGGTCGCAAGTAACAAACATGTTTTTTGGGGAAAATGCTGGAACAACTTTTAAAAAAAAAAAAAAAACACTACATTACCCTCTAGATTATTGCATAGAGCCTCCTTTTCATGTCATACAACAAAAATCATATCATATATGTCATTTCAGAATGCTATCATGATAACATATCATATTATAAGATATCCGCGTCCAAATCATTGAGATTTTGTCGTTACCTACCTTATTCCAGGCAACAACATGGTTGCCAACTCGTTCGGATCCATTTACTATCGAACTTTGTTGTGCATAGCGTTTCCTTTTCAGAAAATTATCGAACTCATGACTTTTTTGTGGGCAGAAAATAGAGGAAATCAGAGAAACCCGTATTTATCCCGTAGTAACCTGCAGGAAAAATATGGGTTTTTGCGCATGGTTAGCCATAATGCATGTCATGCGATTTTTTAACTTGGAAGGAGGGGAGCTGAAGGCTTCAAGATCCAAGAAAAACTAACATATGAGCTATGGTCAATACTCATGGTTAATAACCACTAATAGGGGCTAGTCATCCAATGGTTCATAGGGATTTATAATAACCATTATGAGGATCCTTATTATGGATGGGATGACCATCAACCATATAGTGAGTATTGACCATATGGCTCATATCAGTTCAATTGTGGGGAACGCTCACTCCAAGCCGGATGGAAACGGTGGAGGATCTGGACGGAAGCATTTTTTCTCAAACAATATCATTTGAACGGGATTGAACAAATGTGGAATGAGGGGGATTGGAGGTAAATGGATATTTGATGAAATTTCAGTGAAATGGTGGACTTGCAAAAACCAAGGTTTTGGACAAACATTTTTTTTGAGAAAAATTACATGGTTTTACCCAGTTGAACCATGATTTTTATAGAGTTTTTTGGGTTCTCTAGGTACTTTCCATATATGTCCATAATTTCTCCATATATTGTCCATATTTTTCCATGTATTTTCCATATTTTCCACATATTTTCCATAATTTTTCATATTTGTCCATGTATTTTCCATATTTGTCCATATATTGTCCATATTTTGTTCAATATATTTTCCATAGGTTTTCCATATATTTTCCATATTTTTCCCCAGGGTTCCTTGAGGTTTCCGGGCACCATCCCCGGTGCCGAGGCAAGGTGAAGGCGTCGGTGCGCTGCCTGCACCTGGAGGTGGAAAGCCTGGCAGAGAGCGCCGAAGGAAAAGACCAGGACGAGCCAAAAAGAGCACGGCCGTTGAAGCTGAAATCATAGAATTGGATGATGGGAACATTTACAGGAAAACCCTATATTTGATGGTAAAAACCGTTGTTTCCTGTAGATTTTCCCTTAAACCAATCCATTGATGAAAGATATCCTGATTTTATACCATTTGGTTATTTAACATAGCCATGGAAAATCCCTGAAATAAATGGAGCTTTTTGTATGTTTACCAGGCCGGGTAGTTATCCCAATGACTGTTTCCTCCGGTAAACCTCAAGTAAGCCACCATTACCCATAGGATCCATGGTGCTGGTATATATGCTAACATTTGGGGTATTTTGATGGTATATTGATGGTATATTGATGGTAAATGTTATACAAAAAACATATTCCCTCCGGTAGTTTAACAGTTTGCTATTGAAAATTGCCATTTATAGTTGATGTACCCATTAATAATGGTGATTTTCCATAGCTACGTTAGTTTACCAGAGGGTATCCTGATTATATATATATAATATAATATAATATATATATATATATAATATAATATAATATACATATATAATATAATAAATATATATAATAATATATATATATATATATTTAACTATTGGACTATTATATGTATATATAACTATTGGGGTAAATTATATTAGTATAACTGGTGGGTGGTTTGGAACATGATTTACTATATAGATATATAAATACAATAAAACTATTGAGTAAATGATGTATATTAGTAAATAAATCAATATATATATATAACTGTTGAACTATGTTTACTACAAATAGATTAGATCATCTAATCTAGAAAGCGTGTTTTAGTACTTAGTAAGATATATTTTGATATGATTAGATCGTAATATATTATGGATTTTATGTTAGAATGTATACAATACGGTTAACCCAAAGAATCCATATTTGAGACTTCCAAGCTTCAACCGTGATGATTTTGACACGATTATTCTGACCTACTGCTGAACCATTGGGGTTTTCACGCGGCGCATTGGGATTCTTATAGCACATGTCATAGGGATACCGGGATACCTTTTAAGCAACCAGTACAAAGGCTGGGGTGGGGATAGTTTATGATAGTTTGCATCACTGGAACATGTTGGAACCATATTAGGGAACATCTTAAATCTTGAATTTGATAATTACATACAGTGGATGGACAAATCCTGCACCATTTCATAGGTTGTTTATCCCATTATTTACTGGTGCACTATTTCGCAACCATCCACCGTAGAACTACCCTTTGGTAATCACAATGTTTGCTGCAGGTGAAGATCTCCATTTCACTTGTCACGTCGCTGACGTGTCGCAGGATGCCTTCATTCAAGAGATGCGAGATGCCAAAGATAAGGCTGGCGTCAGATGCCGAGGATGAGGTATTTATTCTTCGGTGAAGTGATTGAACATAGCCATGGAACTTGGCCCATTGACGTTACTTTGCTTGGCGCATTGGCTATGGCACCGATTACCGGAGGGTAAATGTTCATTGCCTCACCTCTGGTTGTTTCTTCACTGGTGAGTCGGAGCCAGCTCTCCTTTCAGATGTTGAAAGGAAACCACCCAAATGGATTGAGATGGTGAGGTATACCAGGTATACCGGTCGTAGTCTTGTGGGATCACAAGGCAACTTACCCAATTGCCAAGCCAAACATGGACACTCCCATGTTTGAAGACCGAGATTTCAGACTAGTTACACCATGTTACGCCTATATAATATATTGATATATATATATATATTGGAAATCAAGGCGGGAGATATGTGGTCCCTTCAACTGCTTGGCTGTAGTTTAAGGCATCGTTTTGAAGCCCCACTTGAGACATGGAGAACTGCTGGGCTTTCAATGTTTTCCAGGGTGTTCATTTTCCAGGTTTTGCAGGGCTTAGTTGATCTTAGTGGCCAATTCTTCTACCATCTGGTAATTTAAGGTAGCTATGGAAAAGCACCATTCTTCATAGGCAAATCATCATAAATCATCTATATATAGGCATACATGGGCCATTTTCCATAGCTATATCCAATAACCAGAGGGTAAATCCCATCAAATCACCATCATATATTATATATATCCCTATGGATCCAAACACTGTCTCAGGGTATATATATATATATATATTCCCCCTAAATCATACCCCAAACACTTCCTAGGAAGGTACTTGGATCCATAGGGTATATATATATATATTCCATTAAATTCTTATTTCAATGACATGGCCATTAAATTTCCATGAAAATCTGGGAGCTCCTGTCGAAGGCCATCGACGTCCGCATGCAACAGCTCCAGGATTTGGTCGATAAGTCCGGAGATCCCCGGCAGGGTTAGCGGTGAAAATCACCACCCCAACAAGAAAATGCCGATTTTATGGGATTCAATGGATTCATGTGAGTAAAGGGTAATATCAATATCAAACAGCAGAAACCGTGGGTTAATAAATTGTATATATATGTATATACATATTTATTCGTATAATGGGATTTACAGATATGTGGGGTCCACTTATTGGGGTGTTTATTATTATAGGGGGATGGGATTATCCCAAGATTCCCCTACATGGCCTACCCGGCCTGGTAAACAAACAGTTTGCTATTGAACATGGCCATAGAAATAGTGAAATAGTGGATTTACCCAGCTATAAAATGGTGATTTTCCATAGTTACGTTAGTTTACCAGAGGGTATTTCAGACGGAAAATGATGATACTCCGTTGGAATTGGGTGTATATTTTCAGACACACGTGACGATGATATCAACGTTGGATGAAAAAAGTCTGCCGTCCGTGACAGGGCTGCTGGATGTCGCCAGATCATCCCAGGCTTAAGTTTGTGTGATATGCAGGACTCCCTGAGATTGTTTTAGCTAAAAGTGGGTGAACATGTTCCAGAGCATTTTCCTCTAAAAGATTGTCTCTTACACCAATCCGTTGAAATTTTCCTCAAATCATTTTTTTGCATGATACTACCATTTTCTTGGTTCAATCCCAGTCAGTCACGCTTGACGCCCTGCGCTTGCCGGGCTGCCATCCGAGGACGGCGACAGCGAGAACGACGTGGATCGAGCGAGTTTGGGAATGAACCTGGCCCGCAAGATACTGAACAACATCACCGTGGAACTTGAGGTGCCAATGACGAAATGACGGAAGAGCGTGGATTTTCCGTGGCGACCCTGGGATTCGAATGGGTTTTGATCGGATTTTCATGGGATTTAATGGGGTTATAATCCACCTAATTAATGGGATGATATTCTATACCCTCTGGTAAAGTAACCGTGTTGCGAACTGGAAAAAATACATGTTTTGTATCCTCCTGCCAATTTCCACTACTAAATGCTATGACCTAGGTCCCGGAAAGTGAACCAAAAATTTAGTGTGAAATTTCCAGAAACCATTTAGTAGAGAATCATGATTTTCAAAAAAAAATCAAGTAAACATCTCTAGACCCATGATCCACATTTAGTAGTGAGGTAAAAATGATATGTTAATCATATGATGTCAAATGTTGTTTTTTGGGTAAAACCATTTAGTAGAGATGTCAAAAAAATGTTGCAAAATCACAGGAACCATTTAGTAGAGGTTGCGAAGTAGAGTTCATAAAACGGTCACAATGACACGAGACAAAACTGAAAAACCATTTAGTAGAGATTCCCATCCCGTTGCCCCCGATAGTCGTTTGGCCAATCCATGTCCATCAGGATGAATCACGTAAATCCAGATAGTATATGATAATAGATGCTCAAAAAAATAAGAAGCTTGAAAAATAAATATAAATTCTAGAATGCCAATGAATATCAAAGATATTCCCGGGTTGAAGTAAATCAACATGATCGGGTATACCGCGATAAGAAACAACAGAAGTTGGACAAAGATAGCATCCTTGCGGTATCCTGCCATGCCGCCTCCAGTCTAGCCAAGTGCTGCCTCTACTAAATGGATGGTCATGGGATCAGTCTATCTAGAACTGTTTCAAACAAAGCCCTGTTGCATCCTTGTGTGCCCTATAATCCCTTACGCGCTATGCAACACCATTTTGTAGTCCCAAAATGTCCAAATTCTATCAAGATTTCCCCTGTCTAGCCAAGTGCTGCCTTGCCTTTTTTGGGGGCGATGCCAAATCCCTCGCTTGGGTGTTTCTTGCTCGTCGGGTGCTGCCTTTCGTGTTTGTTTTTTTTTGCGTTTTTTGGGGGGCGATGCCAAATCCCTCGCTTGGGTGTTTCTTGCTCGTCGGGTGCTGCCTTTCGTGCTTGGGTTCTTTTGTTGCCTTTTTTGGGGGGCGATGCCAAATCCCTCGCTTGGGTGTTTCTTGCTCGTCGGGTGCTGCCTTTCGTGTTGGGGTTCTTTTTTGGCCTTTTTTGGGGGCGATGCCAAATCCCTCGCTTGGGTGTTTCTTGCTCGTCGGGTGCTTACTAAATGGATGGTCATGGGATCAGTCTATCTAGAATTGTTTGAAACAAAGCCCTGTTGCATCCTTGTGTGCCCTATTATCCCTTACGTGCTATGGAACACCATTTTGTAGTCCCAAAATGTCCAAATTCTATCAAGATTTCCCCTGTCTAGCCAAGTGCTGCCTTGCCTTTTTTTGGGGCGATGCCAAATCCCTCGCTTGGGTGTTTCTTGCTCGTCGGGTGCTGCCTTTCGTGTTTGTTTTTTTTTGCGTTTTTTGGGGGGCGATGCCAAATCCCTCGCTTGGGTGTTTCTTGCTCGTCGGGTGCTGCCTTTCGTGCTTGGGTTCTTTTGTTGCCTTTTTTGGGGGCGATGCCAAATCCCTCGCTTGGGTGTTTCTTGCTCGTCGGGTGCTGCCTTTCGTGTTTGTGTTCTTTTTTTGCCTTTTTTGGGGGGCGATGCCAAATCCCTCGCTTGGGTGTTTCTTGCTCGTCGGGTGCTGCCTTTCGTGCTTGGGTTCTTTTGTTACCTTTTTTGGTGGCGATGCCAAATCTAAATGGATGGTCATGGGATCAGTCATATGTGTTTCATGTTGTTTTCTCTACTAAATGGACCCCGTGTATTTCTACTAAATGGCTTTGGGGTTTTGGTCGAGTGATGTTGGTCCCGCAACTTGTGCTCAAATGAGTACCTCTACTAAATGGAACAGGGTGTTTGGTCGAGTCATGTTGGCGTCTTAAGACACTCTGAAAATATATCCAAATTTTGCGCTTCAGCTGAACCAGGGGCCCACATTTAGTAGTGAAATTCGATCATGCATGCACATCCATTTAGTAGAGCTTGAGGCTATGCAGGCCGTTTCTTCACTACAAAATGGTTGCACAGCCCCAACCCTTAATTGACAGGTTTTTTTTTGTTATATTATAGGTGAATGATCTATAAATGATCCATGTCTTCCATAGCTATGTTAGTTTACTAGATCGAATGTTAAGGCAGAAACATGGGAATATGTTGGGAATGTGTAGCCAACTAATGAATTTACCCTCTGGTTATGACTAACAGTTTGCCATGGTTTGTTGATGGCCCAGTTCGAAATAGATGGTTTACCGAACTTAATAGCATGGTGGATCTTTCCATAGTTTTCCCATTAGAAATGCTGATGTTCCATAGTTTTCCCATTAAAAATTGTGATATTTCCTTAACAAAAAAACAGATGGTATTAATTGGGGATATATTGGTGATCTACCTTCTGGATCCTTATTGGTGAACAGTTTGCCACTGTTAAAATCACCGTGTTTCTATCGGTTTTTATCAACAAACTATACATGGCCATGTTCGATAGCTATATGAATTACTGGAAAGTAGCGATGTTGGATGGTTTTCACCGTTAAATGGTGATTTTTCATGGGACGTCATGGGAGTTTAATAAAGTGGGCCAGAAATTGTGATTTTTCATGGGACTTGTCATGGTTTTGTTTTTTTTCGGGGTCAATGTAACCAAACATGGTGTTTTAATGTGTTTTATATCATGGAATTTCATGGGCGCCGCCCATTCATGGAGACGTGTGGCCATCAAAGTTTTTCGCCGGGAAGAGGACGGTAGCACAAGCTGAGATCTGCTGAGCCACGGCCATTTTTTGGGGGTCTACTACTCACTATCCTCCATATCATGGTCAGCAATTGTCAATACCCTCTGGTAATTTGTTACGTAGCTATAGAAAATCACCATTTTCAATGGGAAAATCAACTATAAATATTATAAATCACCATTTTCAATAGCTTTTTGTATGTTTACCAGAGGGTATCACCCAATTCTATGTGGTCGAAATCGATTGGAGCAAATGCTATTGGCATTTATTGGCATCTATATGGCTCATTGGCTCTTTCCCGTGTTTCGAAAGTTATGGATTTCAAATTGGACAGATTTACGACATGCAAACATAACTTGCAAACCTATCCAAGTCTATCCATTTCTGGTCTATGAAAAACATCAATCACATTGAATCATTGAATCACCTATGTTTTGCCATGTTTTAAGCCATTGTTCTTTTTTATTACGTGTTTTCACCATTAAAAAAAAACACCCAGCTGAAGCCTTCATCAAATTTCATCAAGCCAGCGCAGGAGGTGCACATTGCCTTCAACAGCAGCCGTGGCTTGGCATGTTGCATCGACCTGCCCAAGCTCTCCGTGATCTCCACGGATCAGACTTACCGACCCCGTGACGATGCCGAAGGCCATGGGAGCCCGGCCGGCATGGGGATGGTGGTGTTGATCCAATCATGGGAAGAGGGCTTAGAATGAACACGAATGATGTCAGTGATGGTTTAAGATGCTTTGATATGCTTTGAAGTGCTTCAATTGGTAGAGTTCTGAGTTGTGGCCTTCATTTTTGGCTAACGGCAGCTAACGTTGACCCGCAATGGCAATTCAAGCTGGCAGTGCAAAATAACCAGAATTGTTTGGGAATTATTTAAAATGGTCGGTTAAAAAGAGTGCTTGTTCCTTTGCCACCTTGGACGAAATATATAGAAGGATTTTTCTTTTTGTGCCAAACTTATTTGAAGATTCACAACATCCGGGCTGGGGATCATATTAATCATCCCGTTGCTCAGGTGCCGTTGTGCCGGGCCAATCCATGTACAAAACCTTGCAGCTACAAAAGCTGAGTGTAAGCACCTCGTCGGACTGGAGAGGTCATGTTCATCGATTCCATATGTCCAGATGCGGCAGGATGTGAACTCGATGGGTGAACGTTGAACATGTTGAGAAGATTTCAGAAGTAGATCATCTCAAGAATGGCTTTGTTTCAGATTTGGAAACTGGAGGTGTTTTTTTTTGTGACCGGAGGAAAATTGGAGAGTCTACTTGGACGATTCTACGTGATATGGGTCATAAAGTGGACCAATCTTCTATTCCAAGAGACCCAGGGAGCATGCCCCTTCCCTTTGCTGGTTGATGAAAGGATTGCGTTCACTGGCGATGTTGCGGGACGAGGTGTATGCCCCAACAGATCCCAACAGTATGTTCAAATCTCCTTAGAAAGCTACAAAGTTCCTACATGTTTACAATATTTCGCAATATTGCACTTCTTTAGCCCGGTTCTTGTGTTTTTTTGTTTACTGATGTTCGCTCCATTCTGACATCAACCTTTTTCCAGAGAATTTATAGGGACCCCCAGTGATGGGACCCCTATTCCCATTATTTTACCATACTATCGGGGTTTCTTGCGATGGGAGTAGTATGGGAGTACTATGGGAATGGGATTCCCATCACTAGGGGTCCTTTCTGATGATGCATATTCATCCCGGTGCACGGTGCACCATGGACCACCAGGCATGTCGCCAGCGGGTAGCAACGATTTGGAGGAGTGGCGCTGTTTGGTTTATGGTTTTGGGGACTACTCTCAACTGCCGTAAACCGCCGGCGATGGTTATCACACATGGTTATCACACCATATCATGGTTATTTCCAAGGATGATAATCACACCGCCGGCGATGGTTATCACACCATCGCATTTTTGGTTTGGGTGTGTTTATCATCCTTGGAAATGGTTCCAAGCATCACACTCCATGATTGTCGATCACATTTTTACGGTCCCTGTCTCCTGAAGTCCCATTGCCGCCGTGAAGCGTGGCCTCAGTGCCGTTTGACCAATCTGGGAATCCCACCCTTAACCAGGCTCAACTAACGGCTCTGGGAAAGAAGGTTAGCTGAGCTCTGCTCCAATGGAGGCTAAGAAGATATTTGGCTGGGGATCAAAGACCCCAGAGAGGCAGAGAGAGAGAGATATATATATATAGGGAGGGATTTCATATGATTTCATATGTATATATCAATTATATTATATATAATTTAATTATATTATACAGCATGGCATTATTTCAATTTATTTCATATGTAATGTAGTTCAGAGACAAAAGTGCCAACATGGCTGGGGCAAAATGTGCCCCAGTTTGTTACCAAAACTGGTTTTAGAAGTAGGCTAAGCGTTGGCTTTGTGGATGGCAGATATATCGGTTTTCACAGGGTTTTTCAACACCATCCATTTCACATACGGAGGGGCACCGCACCAGTTGTGCGTTTTTGTAGGTCGGCATCTGTCCATCTGTTGCCGGACAGCCATTGCGGAGGACGCGGAATACGTCCTATGTCCAGTGAGCGCCAATCTGCAGCTGGCCCATGAGCCTGCCAAAAACCTCCTGAGACTCGGAGAATGGACCGGTTTTTTGTGGTGAAAAAAGGAAGGGTCCACTTCAGCTTCAAAGCCCATGACGGATCCATGTATGGTATATAGCAGGTATATAGTATATATATATAGTGTATATATATATAGTATATATATATATAGTGTATAATAAGTATATATATATAGTATATACTAACATGACTGGGGTATATTGATGGGATCCATGGCACACCATATATAGCAATATACATGGATCCGTCATGGGAAGCTGCTTAAATCATCGAAAAAAATCGTGGTTCTCAAGGGGATGTCATGGGGACGATAGAATGGAGATGGACCATATGGGATGTGATGAATATAGGTGAATTATAAAGAGTTCACAACACCACTGATGATGCTTGGGACTGTGGAAATCACATGAAATCACCCCATGTTTTTTTCCTTCATCCAGGTTGTTGATTTTTGTATTTTTTTGTCCACCAGATTTCGGTCACTAAATTCTCTTCAAACTTCCATTTCGGTATTTATCCACGATGTCATCGTTTTCCACGCTGGTACGTCGGACACCCATCCGCAACTTGCTTCAGCTTCGCACTGGTGGCCTGTCGCAGGACTAAGAAACACAAGGCCCCTGGTCTTGACACCATCGTGGCAGAAGAGTTTCAGCACCATTTGGGTATGGATCAATACCTATTTTTTACCATTTTTAGTGGGATGAACATCCATAAATCCCAGCTATTTTGATGTGAACTACAGGGGTACTATTGGTTTTGACACACTGCCATTTGACCTATTTCTCTGATGGCTTTCACGCCCTCTTCCAGCATGGGTCCTCGCTTCTGAGCCACTGCAGTTCAAGGGCGTCATTCATTCCATTGCCAAGAAATCTGGTGCTCTGCCTCGGGAATGCGAGGCATCATGCTTCTTGATACAGTTGGGAAGATGTATCATGCCTTGATTCGGGCGCGTCTTTGATCCTGGGCGCAGACCAACCGTATCCCCACGCAATTGTCCCAGCTGGTCGATGGCTGTTCTTCAGAGGGCTTCTTCCGCACTGGGAAGTCTCAGCTGGTGAAGCCATTCGCCAGTTTGCTAAAAGGATCTAAACGGTGCAACCAACCAAATAGAGACATTTCATCAATGATTATCCCCATCCAGTAGTTGGTACCCAGTATCATGATTTTCCCCATGAACTGGCCATAAATTTAGCCACAGCTACTGCTTCGTGTGGGTCTGCAACTTCTACACAGACGATTCCAGAACTTGATGTACTTGGATGATGTCATGACACGTTCTCATCCTTGCCCACTTCAGCCCTTTCAGTGGATTGGTTTAAGTGAAGATCTTAACCGGAAACCATACATTTTCCATGTAGAATATCGGGTTTTCCAATGCTGTCCATTGTTTTCCTGTGAGTGATCCCTTATTAAACCATATTAAACCAATCTAAACCAATCGAAACCATGACAGAATAACAGCCCAATAACAGCCCAATGACGGCCAGAAACGACTATATTTCATGGAGAAAAACCCTTGAAAAACAATTTATATAAACAAAACATTGAAAAACCATTGAAAAACCCATGGTTCCATGGTTGGAGCACTGGGCTTGGCTCGACTTTAGCCTTTGGCTAAACTCTTGGAGATGGCGATGGATGCGATGGATGCGATGGAGAGAGAGATGGTAAAACCGGGTTTTCGGATTTTCCCGTGACAAGCCACTTGGTGGCTCATCCCACTGCTCGTAAGTGGCTTATAACCGGATAAATGGGATTTTTGTAGGGCTAATCCACATCAATCACTGGGGTTATACCCTCTGGTAAACTAACATAGCTATTGAAAATTGCCATTTATAGTGGATTTTCCCATTAAAAATGGTGATTTTCTATAGCTATGTTAAATTACCAGAGAGTAACCCACTTACGAGCAGTGGGATGAGCCACCAGTGACAGCCTAGGAAGATCAAGTTGTTGGTGGCCACCGAAGAGTTGGCTGAAGTCTTCCTGCGACGTTCACAGGTGAAGCACCTGCGCACCCTGAAGAGTCACCTGGCAGCGACACGTGGGAAGTCATGGTGAGGACTTATAGAAAGATCTTAAAGTAACATGGATCCCAAGAAACATGGTAAATCTTTGTTGATCCGTCTGTTTACCCTCTGGTAATTTAACATAGCTATTGAAAATGGTGATTTATAGTGAGTTTTCCCATTGAAAATGGTGATTTATAGTGAGTTTTCCCATTGAAAATGGTGATTTATAGTGAGTTTTCCCATTGAACATGGTGATTTTCCATAGCTATGTTAGTTTACCAGAGGGTAAAGATCTTAAAGTAGCTGTAGAATCTGTAGACCTAAATGATGTTTTTAAGATATTGAACAACTTCCAAGATATCTTACAAGTTTGTGGATATATATATATATACAATTATATATATAGGATCACATACGATGATATATAAAGAACAGCTCCAAAGACAGGTGCTACAGAACGAACCCTTTGACAAAACCAACGTCAAGAAGTCGTCCATCACAGGCGATCTCAATGAGGAGTCACGGCAGCACCAGCTGCTGTTGGTGCAGAGCATTGCAGGCCCGGGCCGAGTCGCCATGGGAATGACTCGACGGGCCGAGTCCGGGCTGCGGACTCGGTTTCTTGGGGGATGCATAATCTGGGGGATGCGCCTGGAGCACAGCCATAATATATCATAATATAAGCATAAACCACTTACTAATATAGGGGTTAGTATAATATATGTGATAACCAATGGGATGATGCACATTGATTTTTGAAATGTTGTCAGCCCAATTGAAAACCATACCGCAAAAGTGAATGGCTGGATGCTTGGATGTTTGACATAATGAATTGCAGAAACACAATAGGAGATAGATTGAACAGAACAAGCAAAGACTCCGCGCAAAGACAGTAGTGACACATTGGATTATAAGGTCCTCAGGGTTGACTTGGTAGAAGCGAGGGCGAATTCACCTAAATGCACGGATACTTGTTCACCTGGTTGAACGTTGCATTTGATCAGAATTAGCTTCCAGTAAGCCAACATAGATATGGAAAATCCACAGTATGTAGATTACCCTCTGGTAAACTAACATAACTGTGGACAATCACTATTTTTAATAGATAAATCAACTATTTCTATGGGCCATGTTCAGTAGCTATGTTAGTTTACCAGAGGGTATTTCCCAGGGAAACCCATGGATTTTCATGTGAAACAACTCGATGTTGCAATCAGTCTTTGGGCAGCATCTGGGATGAGGCCAAGGCCAAGTCAATGGATCCCAACAAACATGGTAAATCTTTGTTGATCCATCTGTTTACCCTCTGGTAAACTAACATAGCTATTGAAAATGACCCATTTATAGTGGATTTACCCATTGAAAATGGTGATTTTCCATATAGCTATGTTAGTTTACCAGAGGGTAACCCATGTTTAACCCATTTTAACCCCATGTTCGCGGATGAGATTCGCCAGGATCGCCCACTGAGAAGGATGCCAATCAGATCACCAAAGACATCAACGAGATCACCAAGGACGCGTTTGGCGTTGGCCGAAACCCATATGACCATTAAGATGGCCCAGTTAATACCAGTTATAAGATGTTATAAGTACTAGATAAACCCCATTTATAGAATGCATAATCCCATTTACAAGCAGTTATAACTAATAAATGGCCATAACTGTATGAACGTTGGCCGTTGGCCAAAACCCAGATTTGCTGTCATGTTTTTTTTTTTCGAATTATTAGATGGTGTTTTTCATTGAAGAAACCTAGAGTTTCAAGAAGTGGGGTTGATTTTCAGTCACGTGCCACATTTTTTGGTTTAATTACCGTTACATATTTTTTGTTGGTATAGGGAGTCGATGGGTTGCCAAAATCATAGAATTGGATGATGGGAAAATTTACAGGAAAGCCCTATATTTGATGGTAAAAACCATGGTTTCCTGTAATTTTTCCCTTAAACCAATCCAGTGACAAAAACACCGACCAGGCCCAGAAAACCCCTGCCAGGATGCAGACAAGTCCATCGAAAGGTACACCAAGCTTTACGAGCGAGACATATCTCAGGAGCGGCCCTCTGGGGCCTCTGGGGCGCTGGAACCAGGGTAGATCCAGCGGTGTTTTGGACCCGGAAACTGTTACTGGGTCGTAGCATGAAGATTGTGGTGTGTCATGAGTTTAGGCGTAGATAATGCTATGTAGTAATTAGGTCATTGTCCCATTCGGTTCAAATATGTTTTGTTTTTTTGACATGTTTTGACCATATAGCCATATAGTTTGTTAAGGTTTTAGCCAGGCCCATGGCACGTTTCTAACTGCATTACCTTATATTTACTGTATGACATTTCAAAAGTGGATGGTTTCAAGTTGTTAGTGCGGTTCTTGGTTGCGGAACAACAGTTTTTGTTGTGCCTTTTTTTGTTGTGCCTTGGTTTTCCCATTTGAACGGCGGCTTGATCTCCATTTTAAATTAGTAACTAATGGGCTTTCATTCTTCATCTTAGGGCCTGTTATGTCATCTTCCGAGAATCGTCCACATGTTGGTCAACTTTCTTGCTCTGTTGGTGTACATGTGTGTCTCCGTTTCTTTGTTGGCCAAATATTCCCAGAAACCCAGTCAACTGTAGACATGCCATCCATGAACCCCAACCTATACGTTTAATTCTAAACCAACTTGTAGCTATTCAGAAATTAACTATCAATCAACTAATCAATGGCCATTTCAGGAACCTAAATTGGAGGTACCTACCATATATAAGGCCTATATAAGGCCTATGTAAGGGAATATCCCCAGAAAATATGGCCTTATATGGTACAGTACCTCCAATTGAGGATCCTGGAATTCCCATTGAACTAAGGCCTTCCGCATCATTTTCCCCATTGTTTGGGCCCAATAGCCTAATCCGCCCCGTGGTTTTCCTCGTCTTTATCCGAGGACTGCGAGGCGACGCGTCTGGCCCCCTTGAGCGACCAGGAACGACGCGAGCTGCAGGTGTTGGAGGCGATGATCCATGCGATGAGATAATGGTGATTTGTTTAATGGGCGATAAATGGGCGATTTTATGTGAGATAATGATAGATAATTAATGGTGATTTTATTGGAGAATTTATGATAAATCATGGTCCATCATGGTGATTGAATGGTGGTTGAATGGTGGTTGAATGGTGATTTGATGCGAGATGAATGGATAACTGGTGATTTTATGGGTGATAAATGGTGATTGAATGGTGATTTAAATGGAATATATATGATATAAATCGGAGATAATATCTGAGATAAGGGCGATTTTTCTGCAAGAAGTTTTGAAACGCGAATTGGTGTGGCTGAAATTGGGGATTGTTGAATGGGATTTTGGATGGTGATGTATGGTGATGTACAAAAAAGTGGGATTTAATTAACTGGTCTATTCTTAGTAAAGCTATAAGTAAATCCACCATCCCGAATGACTTTCCGGCCTTCTATTGGGTGGGATTCCAATCATCAATTTTCACAGGGGTGGTTTTAATGATTACTGACATCATTTCCTGTTAAATATGCCCCTATAGTTTTGATGGTTACCCCCAAAGGTACTGAAACATGGCTTTTGTGGACATTCCCATTTGGCAAATGGAAGTTTATAGTTGGGATAATTCTCAAACTAAATGGATGGATTTTCCAGCACGCTATGTTTAAGATTGCCGGAGGGTAACCTTTAACAATGAGATCATCGGATCTATGCAACATTCTGTCACATGAGTTAATCATGCTTGATGCGGTTTGATGGGAGGTTGATAGGCATTAGCCGTCAGTTTTTGGGCTGGCTTATGGAGTTTTGACTGTCTAGCATGTGGGGATATTAATTGATAAATGATTGATGGGTTCATATGATTAATACTGTATCTCGCCAAAGAATCTGAAGTCTAAGAAGGCTCGCATGGCGGTGCCGGGCTGACAAGAGATTCATAGTGGACTCTTCCTGTTCTTGGGGACCTTGGGGTGGGGCGCATCAAGCACCACAGGGTGGATGTTTTGACAAGTGTCCACTGGGTGGTGTCCCTTATGGCAGAGTGCAAGTTGGAGCTGGTCCCGTCCCGCGTTTCCCTTCTTTCCGACTTGGACCAGAAGAGGTGTAAATCATACCAATATGTTCGTTGGTGATTATTCTAGTAAATATTCTAGTAAATATTCTAGTAAATATATGTAATTATAGTCTATGATGGAGGCATCTGTCAACCAACCAGTATAGTGGGATGGGATAGGATAGGGGTAATTTTCATGGCTCATGTGGCACTTGAGGGCATACATATGAAACATCCTCACTGAACTATGTGGCTCATAAATATCAGTTTGTAAGTTTTGGATGCACATCCAAGTAGGAAATGGTTTGCAACTGGGTTTTGATTAGCAGTTTGGTGGCATATGGTTCAAGCCACCCATGGGGGTTGAAAGAGATGAGGGAGAACATCCCATGGCAACCGTTGATCCAAGAGGGCAACGGATTGCTGCAACACCGGCAGCGCCGAGCCAACTGGTGAGGTACATATATATATATATATATTATACATATATATTCACATTAAACACCCCCCATAAACCATGCTATAGCAAGGGATCTACGATGATAGACATATATTTGGGACCGTTCAATCCAGGTCTTTTTAGTTGAGATATGTTGAGATTACCCTCCGGTAGTCAAACATGGCGTCAACATTTCCACATTTCGTTCCATGATTTTTCGGTTGTAAACCTCCATGGCTCATTTTTAGGGCAATGCAATCGCCACGTTTGAGGACACAGAATGGTAAACCCCATTCAATATACCCTCTGGTTATTTAACATAGCCATGGAAAATATTGGAAAATGGCCCATTTATAGATGGTTTACCTGGGTTTACCTATTAAAAATGGTGATTTTCCATGGCTATGTTAAATAACCAGAGGGTATAATATACCATTGAGTCATTGAGTATCCATTATTATTCATTATCATCAGTGATTAACGCCAAAATCAATTGATAATCAATTGATAATTTGGTTGGTGGTTTCAAACATTGTTTATTTTCCATAGAAAAATTGGGTAATCCTTCCCAACTGACGACCTCATATTTTTCAAGATGGTTCAAACCACCAACCAGTAATCATTGGATCCTGAGATGGAGGTACTGTAGCATCTAAGGCCATATTTTGTGGGGATATTCCCTGAAATTTGGGCCTGAATTTTAGGCCTTATATAGGCCATATTCATCATTGATCTTTGCATTACCCTCTGGTAATTTAACATAGCTATTGAACATTGCCATTTATAATGGATTTTCCCATTAAAAATAGTGATTTTCCATAGCTATGTTAGTTTACCAGAGGGTAATCCAATACCGCCACCGGTGTTTCTGAACATGTCGCAGGCTGTGCTCTCGGCCCGCTTGTTGGCACGGGCCCGCTACAAGGCGGAACGTCAGACAGAGGCGGAGACAGCCGGAGCCGGCGATTTTCAACGTGTGGGATGAGGGGGCTGAACTAGTCACATGGTTAGTTTATGGTTTTAGTATGTTTAATTATGGGACTAGGTCATTATGGTTTTATTGTTGCTTCAGCTTGTTTCATTTTTGTATTATTATGGTTTCGTCATGGTGCTATGATGGTTAAATCCCGATATAAATGCAAATATTCAAGGGAGAATAACCGGGCTGTATGCTTGTTAACCGGGTAAACAACTGGACCGATAGTTTAGTATCATCCCATACGGTATACGAATTTTTTGGGGCGTGTCAACCTAGCCAGCTCAACAAATACAATGTATGTAAGCTTGGCCATGGTTAGTGACAGAGAATCAACAGCTCGTAACAAAACATATTGTTGCAAGTGATTGTCCAGCGTCCAGCACCATAAAATCCAATTAATTCAGGACATGAAAGGGGAATCTCCCAGTTTTGAAGGTTCTCATTTCTTAGTCATTAGTCTCTGGTAATATCCCTGGATCTAGTGGTGTCCCCCACCGACCCAGTGAGATCAGTAAGTCGTGTTTGGCGACAGGCTCTTAAGGCCATTCCCCAATGCCCAAGTGCAAGGAGGAGTGTGAAGACCCTTCACAATTTTCAGTAACAGGCTTTTAGACCACCATTTTGCGGTTGGTTTTTTATGGTTCGACCCCTTTTTCTCTTGGCTGTCTTGTGAAATCAGGTCTTTGTGCTGGGCAAAAAGATCTGGTTGGTGGTTTGGAACATTTGGATTATTTTTCCATCTATTGGGAATGTCATCATCCCAATTGACGAACTCATATGTTTCAGAGGGGTAGGTCAACCACCAACCAGTTGTAGTTAAAATTCCGATCATGGTTAACCATAACCACCACTATTAACCATTATTAACCAAATATTAGTCAGTTGGTCAAGCACCAACCAGTAAAAGGAACAGCTTGATCTCTTGCCGGATGCGCACCGATCATCCACATGCGGTCGACAGGCAAAACCAGTCGAAAGCATGGAGATTCCACCAAGCCGCCCACAAAGGTGAACCACCCTGGTCGATTGGTTCTTGTAGGGCCTTATGATACCTAATTTGCTGGGGAATTGTGATAAGCCATAGGGAAACCTATCAACCAACTAGTATAAGGAGATGGGAAAACGGGGTATTTCTAATGGCTCAAATAATGTTTGGGATTATTAAGGGTGAAACTATGTTAAACTTCATCACCATTAATCACCAACAACCACTAATAAGGGCACACCTTAGTCATCTCTTATTGCTGTTGTCATTTGAGTTGGCCAAATCCCCATGACCCAAAATGACCCAAAACACAACACAAGGTGGCCCCCCCCTAGATAGCATTAGATAGCTAACTTGGTTCAGAACTACAATGACTAGGGTTTACAGTACTGGGTAGATATTATATACCATGATATTGTCATGATATATCTATAATTAGATGGGGTTATAAACCAACAAACATGATCTGGGGGGCCTCATCTTGTATGAAAAATCATCAATTTGAAGGTTCCGACCCCCTTCCCCCACAATCACAGCCGGGACCCATGCAGGTGTTGAATGAGGAGGTGGCACGACGACAGAAACAATTGGAGATGGCTCCTGGGCTGGCGTTGATGAGTTCATGGTGGCCCTTCCAATGGTAAAAGACAACCCCCCAGAAAAGATAGAACAGTATAAAATCCTATGCAACAGTGGGGGTGACAATGTGTTCTTTGTGTGGTTTCTATGATCATCATGTTTCCGTTGAAATATCCCTTTGGGAGATATGTATTGTGCACCATTTTCAGGTGCACACATGTCTTTGCTCGTGAAATGCAGCGTTTCCGTTGGTGCAACCCCCTCTGATCATGGATAAATTGCATTTTTTTGTTAGTTAATTCAAATCCCATCTGGTCGGTTTTTTGGAACATGTTTTATTTTCCCATATGTTGGGAATAATCATCCCAACTGACGAACTCATATTTTTCAGGGGGTTGAAACCACCAACCAGATTTTACCGTGTTCAACGCACCTTTCCCCTGGTTATATGTTGGTTAACAGCAGTGAACTAAGTTACATCTGCCATCTATCATCCAGGCAACCAACTGGGGCACCACCTTGTGGTCAAATGCCAGCCGCTAAATCCCATTAAATCACCATTCGTGTTAGTCAACATCCCATTCAACTTCCATTACATCACCAGTTTTGTTCGTTATATTTTAACTCCATTCAACTTCCACCAACATCACCATCTTTGTTGATGAATTCCATGAAACATCCTCATTCCGAAGTATTCCTGGTCATATCTATCACACATGGCATATCCCATGACGGATCCATGGTGCTGGTATATATGCTAACATGACTGGGGTATATTGATGGGATCCATGTTACCATATATAGCAGCACCATGGATCACATGGCATATGATTGACTCACTGGATTGGTTTAAGGGAAAATTTACAGGAAAACCCCATATTTAATGGGAAAATCTATGGTTTCCTGTAGATTTTCCCTTAAACCAATCCATTGATTGACCTTTCCACACCCCCAAAAACCCCTCTAGGAACGTGTGGCGAAACGCTCGGCCAACTCGGGCTTCTTCGGCCGCTTCTGGGGCTCCGCAGAGGAGGCCACCCCAAGTCATAGGATCGAAAAACCTGGGAAATCCCATATGAAATCCCGATATATTGGAGACTTTAAAAACCTCGTATGGTGAAAAGATGATGATGATGATTTGAATGGGATTCAAATGGGGAACATATTGGAAGATGGTGATTTCAACCGGTTGAAAATGATGATTTAGTCAGACGGTCATCCCCAAACTTAATCCGAACTTGATCAAATCCGCTCCTAAAACAATGATACCCTCTGGTAAACATACAAAAAGCTATTGAAAATTGCCATTTATAGTGAATGTTCCAATTAAAAATGGGGATTTTCCATAGTTATGTTAGTTTACCAGAGGGTAAATTGAACAACGTTCTATCTTTTTGGAATTACTTTCTGAGGATCTAGAAACAAAGTTAACACGCTGAAGTGATTTATGTAAAGTATCCCAATTGTGAAACCCAATTGTTAAACCTCCAATTGAAAATGATTGTGTTTGCAACTGGGTATAACAACCAATCAGACAACACTAGTTATATAGGTCCCCAAAAAAAGTGGTAGCTTAGCCTGGTACTTCAAAATTATGGAGTAAAGCACCAATTTTATGGCTACTTGGAGGGACCAAGGCGGCCAAGGATGGCCAAGGTGGTTGGGAGATGGTCTAACCCGTTGTGAAGCCGCGTAGGAAGAAGAAGGGCAGCAACCTGGAGTCGAGTTGCTGTCCAATGAGGAGATGAGCCTGGGGAGAATCGTTTTTGTGACGAGAAGATGGAGAATTAACAGTGACTTAACCAACAAAAAAACAAGGGAATCAATGGAGGCATTACTATGCATTACTTATTGCGTATTTGTTGAGATTTTAAAGGGATAAAATGGAACATAAATGTCAACAATATAGGGACTTAACTGACTCAATCAACATCATCAACAAAAAAACCATGGAATTTACACATGTTATCCCGGAACTAAATGGCCACTTCAATGGAAAACTCATGGAACCAAATGGGATGATAAAGAAATATTGAATGGAGTGAATCGCTAGTCGCAACCGTGGGGCCAGTTTTGCCGGGAGTTGAACCCACCATGCTGTCACTAAAACAATGATTCTTAGTTGAGAGAAGCACCCCAACAAAAACTGGTTGGTGGCTTATCACAATTCAGCCATCAACCATCATTGAGCCAGTCAGTAGCTAGATTCCCATCCATTAACACTAGATTCATCTACCCTCTGGTAAATAAACTTGTTGACCCTGAAAATAGCCCATGTTTAATGGAAACTAGTCTGAACCAACCCCGATGTCTGCCAGGGTCTATGTTAATTTACCAGAGGGTACCCTGATTTTATATCCCATAGGATCCATGGTGCTGGTATATATGCTAACATTTGGGGTATATTGATGGTATATTGATGGTATATTGATCTATATTCCAGTTGTTACTGGGATATATCTCACTTGGCTGATCATCCTGAACTTTATGGAAGTTTTCACGATCAAAAGCCGAGGATTTGGATCAAATTCGTTAAGTTTAGGAATGTGTCACAAGTCCCTAGGGATTCCTCTTACCCTCTGGTAAACATACAAAAAGCTATTGAAAATCACCATTTATAGTGGATTTTCATTGGATTTTCCCATTAAACATGGTGATTTTCCATAGTTATGTTAGTTTACCAGAGGGTAATCGCATTCCCAACATATTAAACACACCCATTCTATCCATTTTCTATGATCCCAAATATGCGGTTCCATCCTGTACAAAAACCATGGTTTTGTTGGGATTGTTTAATATTAATGGGGAAGGGATTGTACCATATTATACCATCCCAATGTTTGATAGTTAAGTCAGTGGAGTCCCTATTGTTATTATCATCCCAATGTTAGTTACATAAGTCTTTTGAGTCCCTATGATTATACCATCATCTACTCATATACCATAGTAGTACTCAGATAATAAACTCTATGCATATGATAAAGCATACCATATGTTCTGTTATACCATAATACCATTATAGTATACCGTGATAGTATAAAATCGAACATAATATAGTACTATTATTTGGCTGGTGGTTTGGAACATTCTTTGTTTTTCCATACATTGGGAATGTCATCATCCCAACTGACTTTCATATTTTTCAGAGGGGTAGGTCAACCAGCAACCAGATATTATACTTCTACCCTCTGGTAATTTATCAGTTTGCTATTGAAAATGGTCATTTATAGTTGATTTACCCATTAAAAATGGTGATTTTCCATCGTTATTTACCATATTATACCATCATTCCCACAATGCTGCCATGTCCCATTTGATCCTGCCCCCGTCACACCGCCAAGTTCTTTTTTAGAATGCCAGGAGAAGAACCAGTTGCTGAACGACCTGAAGGACGTCAACAAGGTGGGACTCTGAAGCGGGTCACGGCAATGAGCTATGGCAGCTATGGTTCACGTATCAACATCTATACATATTGTATACTCTCTGGTAAACTAACATAGCTATGGAAAATCACCATTTTTAATAGGGAAATCACTTATAAATGGTCATTTCCAGTAGCTATGTTAAATTACAAGAGGGTATATGTTTTTGTGGTATATATGTATATGTAACATACGTGTATATATATATATATGCATATTTATTGGTATGTGTCTTTTGTTTTCCTTGGTGGAAAACAGTAGCCACCAGCTACCACGAGTTCCTCAACCACTTGATAGCTATGACATATTGAAGACCTTGCATGACCTTTCTATAAATATTCTAATGAAGAAATCATAGTAAAAAACCAGTGATCAACTAGAAAGACCTTGTCAATAGATTATTTTCGAATAAAAGCAGACATGAACTGGCTAGAAGTAAGGACGGTCAATCAACTGGAAATGCTTCCCATTCCTGTCCAAGTCTTATTTGGAGGTTTCCTGAAATGGGGGTACCCTTAAATCATCCATTTGAATAGGAATCTTCATTATAAACCAGCTATCAAGGGTACCCCCAGCCATTTGGAAACCCCCATGTGATTAATGTATCATTTTGTTCGAGCACGGCAGCAGGTTCCCTATTTTGCTTGGTGAAATCCCCATTTGAGGCTAGTGAACTGAGCCGGTACATGGCAAGCCATCCACACATTCAGTGGAGACCGTGGAGACCAGCACCATGTGTGGATTTTGTTGCTTCCAAAAACTTACTGGTGCTAAACGTCAACGTAGGGAAATTTCGGGAATGATCCACAATAATAACTATTACTTGTAATATCTATTAATAATAATCCCAGCAACCCATCCATAACCCATCCAGCAAGCCTGCACGTAAAACGCACCAGTAAGAAAAGGTGTCAGCCAATCAGAGGAAGTATTCGAAGTGCTGTTTGAAACGGTGTCCGGGGAGCTTCACCCTTCGGCAATGGAGAAGGTCCAAAGCAGATGAGGTGCCAACTTCATGATGGCAAGTGTGGCGAGGCTATTCCCCAATGGACGAGGTAATTAATCAAAAGTTTACGTGCTGGAGAAGTTTTTTTTCCAGCTAGGAACCTTCATTTATACAATAGATGTTGTAAGATATATCCGAATATCCCATATTTTCATATAGTTTCCAATTGATGTTCTGGGATTTCCATGGCAGGTGGAGCAAGTGGATGTCCCCAAGCAGTTCAGCTTCGAATTCGTCTTAGGCACCGCCTGGGCAGGTTGTTGTCGTTTCCATGGGGAAAAAACATAGGAATTTACGGGGATAGGGACAAATACATAGGCAACCCTAGGAAGAATACAGGAACATATTGGAAAAAGCAGGAGAAAAACATGGAAAAACATCACTTTTTGTGTAGCAAGTCCCTGGTTTGATTGGAGCTTCCATTTTAGTAGCAGCTGATGCTTTGTTGAGTAAACCTGGGTGGTTTAGGTGGTTTTGCCGCCTGAAAATCGGGATTTCAAACAGTCCGGGGTGACACTCCCCCAGTTTCTTTCATGGATATGGATATGGATGGAGATCCATCGGAGCCATGCACTTAATTTTTATTGATGCCCTCTGGTAAACATACAAAAACCTGATGGGAAAATCACCATTTTTAATGGGAAAACACTACAAATGGCAATGTTCAATAGCTATGTAACAAATTAGCAGAGGATATTTAGTTCTTTTGGAGTCAGATGTGTGGTAACCACTGATCCCAAGAAAGGCTCAACTTTCCGAGCGGGATAAACACACCGCCAAGGAATATCCCATGGAATTTCCCGATGTTTTCGCCATAAACTCACTGGTTTCATACAGTTCCCCTTTCTTTTTTCTTGAACCCACCCACAAACCACTCAAGATTCGTCTAAGATGCGTACTGTAAAATCATGAAAGAAATCCCAATGATTCTACATGAATATACTACTTACATGAATCCACTGCTATGTGGGAATATTTGGGGCACTAAAAAAGATCAATGTTTAACATCAACAGTTATTTAATCCTATTTATGGAACTTCATAGATCCACTTACGATATAATTGTTTAACTTATAGATCCACTTCTGTTTCACCAACAGTTCATGCCATGTTTCCACTGTTCATATTTGGGGCATTTATAGATCCATGTTTAACATTGTTTAATTCTATTTACAGCATGTTTCACCAACAGTTCCAACATCCAATTTTCAACATCCAGCTTCACTAACATTTTGATTCCTCCAGGTCAGATGGCCTTGGACTTGGTGGATGACCGCTACCACGACGAGGCGTCGGTCCCGGTTCGACGGAGTTAGTTTTAGTGCCAGGACCTTTGGAGAAAACATGGTTAGAAGGCATGAAAGTCATAGAACATGTTGATAAAAGATGATATACATAAATCATGTTAGTAAAACATATTCATATTGATGACTTTTATCAACATGTTGACTCCACTGATATACATATTGATGACTTTTCATTAAAAGTCCCACTGTTGATAACCATACCAATTCGAGTTGAAGAGTATGTTTATCAACAGTGAAAGCGAACTGGGACCGGAAGCATGGAGCTTTGTATCACACCTATTTTTTGGGCGCGGTGAACGTGCAGTGGATGCAGGTGCACAGACAGTTGATGAGCCTCGCGTTGAGAGCCTTGGGTGTTCAGATCACGCAGCTTTGGGGATGACTACGGAGGTCAATGTCTACCCGTGACTACAAGGTGGTGCCCCCCAGTTATATTATATATATATAAGTTGGTTTTTAATCCCCATAAACCCCTAGTTATTGGACTTATGAACCAACTTAATTAGCTAACTATGGGGCACCACCTTGTACCCCTCTTGAAACCCATAAAGACAGAACATGACATATTTGGAGCGATGAAGATGTGCCATTCTCCTGAGAGTGGGCGCGGCCACCATAGTACAAAAAAACATCGCAAGGTGGGGCCCTCCAGGTATTTCAGTTGGTTTGCAAACCCAGTTAACTCCAGTTAACTCCAGGAAAAAAACTACCATCAAAATCCATAAAGCCTGCTTAAGCTACTGATTTCTCGGGTTCTTTCAACCAACTTAGGCCACAAACCTGGGGCACCACCTTGATCAAGTCTCAAATTTCACCACATCAAACCATCAAACCCTATTAAGAAACAGTTTTTGAACAAAGATCCCATGCAAAATCACCACCACCGGAGATCTCGTTCGGCCGAGCCCGTGCTACGCCGTGCTACGCCCTGAAATCAGGACAGGCGGGCATCGACATCAACGTCCGCATGGCCACGGACTTTTTGGGCCAAGACAGTGCGGAGTGGGGTGTGAAGATCGATCTGCCGCTTGGTTTTTGTTCGAGTTCCGAGCTGCGGTTGGTGCTGTGATCCCAGCTTTTTTTGGCGGTTTCAAACATGGCTGGTGATCAATCCATTAATAGTAGCCATAATAGCAATACTAGGTAAATATATTTTCAAACATGAATTTTATTTTCCATTTCATATATGGGATGTCATCCTTCCCATTGACTACTGTAATATTTTTCAAGATGGTTAAAACTTGTTAAAACCACCAACCAGCCAGTGATTTTGTTCAAAGTTGATTTATGAAAAGCAACAAGGTGAGGATGAACAGTGTTAGTTGGTTATAGTTGGTTTATAAACCCAGTAGCTATACGTAACTATAATACATTATAATACTACAGTTTTATCATGTATCCCCCTCCTAGACCCCAGTTATAAGTTGGTAAGGTTATAGTTGGTTTACAACGCCATGAAATATAGTGATATTGCCTACTCAACCGTAGTTGACCAATTTGTAAGTCAACTCGGCTACCCACAAGGCCTCACCTAATGATAAGTCCTGATGGATTGTGATTTGTCATGTGCACCAAATGATTCAATATATATATGCATATCATTACATATATACATATACATATATGAATATTTCATTATATATATATAGATAGATAGAGAGAGAGAGAGAGATCCGTATATGCATATATATATATATATATACACGTGAGCATAAAACACATTGTTACACATGAGGTGGTCCATGTTTATTTCAATACAATATCATTATCTGAAATTCTCTGGTTGGTTTGTGCTTCAAAGTGATAATGATGGTACAACCAACGAAAATAAATGGATAAACCATTGACAATTTCCGGAAATGGGTGTGTATGAACCAGCAAATAATGGCGATTTCTTATTGGATTGGCCACATGAACAACTGATGTCAGCCAGCCCCGGATTAATGAGCCCTGACTCTTGATTGGGGGTTGACCCCCCAAAAGGGTGACAAATTACGGCTGAAATCTATGGCTCCCCTATTTGTAAAATGGTGATTTGTGAATCCCTTGACAATAGCAGGGAGGGTAGGGGGAATACCCATGAATTGTATCAACATGTCATGATAGAGTGAGGTGATATTGTTTTAGCTATATCTGAGGTTTTGTTGTTTTCCAAATACCCTCCGGTAAACTAACATAACTATGGAAAATCATAATGTTTCATGGGTAAATCAACTATTTCGGCTGGGCCATTTTCCAGTTGGCAAACTGTTAGTCATTACCAGAGAGGAAATCACCAGACAGTTTCATTAAATCCCATTAAAACACCATGAAATTCCATTGAATCACCATTAAAACACCATTTTTTTCCACCAGTGCTGGAACGTATGTAGCAGGCCAGGCCGGTTGGGATAGAAATGGAGCACGCCCTCCGTCCCGGGGTAAGATTCCCAACAGGTGATGTGCCAAAGTTCAAAGTGTGATACCGGCTGAGGGATGGTCATCAATCCATTTAATAGTAGTCATAATAGCAATACTAGGTAAATAATGGTAAATATATTTAAATCTGGTTGGTGGTTTCAAACATGAATTTTATTTTCCATTTCATATATGGGATGTCATCCTTCCCATTGACTTTCATATGTTTCAGAGGGGTTGAAACCACCCACCATTGCCATTGGATTCCCATTAAATGACCATAGCCCGTAGTAAAGTAAGCCATATAACTTGACCATGGGCCCATGTCCAAGGAAAACCTTCCACGCCCTGCACCACACGCGCGCTTTTATGCAGCTAAAGCCCAATGAGGTCAGCGGGTTGGCACCCAGGGACCCATTCTACGGTTGGTGCCATGTGATGCCCCAGTTACTGAAGTTGGGTGAAATGTTAGGAGGTTACGGTGGGTTTATATGATAGATACCCTCTGGTAAACTAACATAGCTAAGGAAAATCACCATTTTTAATGGGAAAATCAACTATAAATGGCCATGTTCAATAGCTATGTTAGTTCACCAGAGGGTATCAAAAATCTGCAGTCAGCTGGCTTTGCAAATCAAAAAAACATTTCACTAGGTGATGCTCGGATGATCCCTCACTTTAGATGGAGTCATTAACTGGCCTCCATTCCCCCGAAAAAAAGTGGAACATGTCACAGGATACAGTCTAGGTACCAACGGTTAGTTACCAACGGTTTTATCGTAGGATTTTGATGGATATAGTGTAATGTGGGTAAACAGATGTCATAAACCATCCCAATTTCACCACTTTTATAGGTGGTAAAGATAGACCATTCCCAAGTCATGGGTGCTTTATGGCATTGTTATACCCACATTATTGGCAAGATCTTGGGAATGGACATATAACTTACCCACATTACTTGCTTAACATAGCCTATAGCTATTAAAAATTCCCATTTATAGTGAGTTTTCCCATTAAACATGGTGATTTTCCATAGTTATGTTAGTTTACCAGAGGGTAACTTACCCAGATTATGATGATTATTGATCTAAATATGTACATATATATATATATATTTTGACGATCAATGACCATTAATGATGTTTAACGATTGATTAGGACATGGAGCTACCGTTGATTAGATTACCATTAATTACCCTATGACATGTAATTACCCATTAATTGCCCATGTATTATAGCTGGATGATGGTCATCTCACCAATGATGGTTGGTAAAATTATAGTTAGATCTTGTTAGTTATATTTTAAAGTTAGTATTTACTATATTTTTTCTAGAGATCTAATAGATTAGATTAGATTTAGATAGTAATTTTCTATAGAAACCATCAACCAGATCCATGAAAACCCACAGTGGGAATCCCACGGTTGCGCATCAGGAGGGCAACCGAGCTGCGCAGTGGTTGGGCGAGGGCACCAGCGCCTTGGAGTGTTGGGCTAAAAGCGTGGCTAAAGCGTTTGGAGGCTTGGCCCAGAAAATGCCACAAAACTATTAGTATGTTTAAACATAGTTATTTATTATAGTACATAGTAACTAATATAAACATACTAATAGGTGTTTGTGAATAGTACTATTTTAATAACAAACACCTGAATAAACACATAGTACTTAGTATATCAACTATGTTTAAACATAAGACGTAGTAACTAATAGTAAACATAGTAAACCGTTTTCAATAATACCATATCAACTATCATAAAACTATCAAAACTTGTGACTGAAGCAACCAGCGGCACAAATTCATGGATTTGACCAAAGAAGCCCGCGAAACCGGTAACCGCTAGCGAGCATGGAGCGCGGCCAAGGTGCTGCCTGCTTTGACATTCAGAGCAAGTTGCAGAAAGAACAGCGCCTTGATGTCGATACCCTCTGGTAAAACAGACAAACAAAAACTGTGGAGAATCATAATTCTTCATAGGCAAATCGGTAAATCCATTGTTTCTATGGCCATGTTCCATGTCGCTTTTTGTATGTTTACCATGTCGGGTAGCTAAGTTGGAAATCTCACTATGGATCACTGGGATGACTGATGTTTTTCTGACTTTTTGGTCGCCTCCCAATTTTTTACAGCCGTAAACGGGGGTTATTAATCCAGGGTTGACATTATCATCATTATCTTTGACGCTTTCACATATTGGCTGGATTTGGCTGGTATATTCTGTTATGTTCAACATTGTTCAACCATATTTGCGATGACGAACATTGGGCCTTGAAACCGATCTTTCCCCTGGGCGAATCGTCTTGGGGTAGCTCATGATAGTCAGTTCGAATGCCCAAAGATTCACTATGGCATTTTTTTTGCTCAGCATTTGTTTAATATATCATAGGCAATACGATATCCATATCCCACATATTTATAGATGATTTGCCTTTTGAACATACGGAAAGGGGTAACATTACCAAATAATCTCAAGATTCAGCATTTCTCAGGGATAGAGAACTTATAACTTATAAGAGTGAAGAGTGACTACACATCTTCACGCATCCCACCAAAAATAAGACCAACAGTCAACAGAAAGTAGGATGAGTTTGCCATGCCCATCTGATGATGTGTTTTTATGACTTGTTATATGTTTAAATGACTTCCATTTACTCATCTTGGTACAAGGTGATGCCAGTTGGGTTTACACCCTGGATATACCAGCCCCAGTCTACTTATCATCTTCTGGATGGCCATGACTAACCGAGAACAATTGGAGGTAGCGATTCCATAAATTCAGGCCTAAAATTCAGGCCCTTATATGGTACAATACCTCCATTTTAGGATCCTGAAGATCTCCCATTGGACTTCGGTAACCAGATGGGGCCAGATGGGGCACCTGATCCTTAGGAATCTTCTGTCGATTTCCTTCAAGTTTATGCCCGTGGAGTTTCTCGGCTGACCCCGTGGTGGCCCGCTTGGCCCGGTCGTTGAGGTGGTGACGCCACTGGTGGAAAAAAATGGTGTCTTAATGGTGATTCAATGGGATTTCATGGTGTTTTAATGGGATTTAATGAAACTGTCTGGTGATTTCCTCTCTGGTAATGACTAACAGTTTGTGAACTGGAAAATGGCCATAGAAATAGTTGATTTACCTATATATAATAAATGCCGTTTTTCCATAGCAAACTGTTAGTCATTACCAGAGGGTATGTTCATGGTCCCATTTCGGTGGGTAAAATAGAAGGATTGTTCCCACTTATCATATAGTAAGCCATACATGGGCGGAATATGACGTGAAACTGATCTGGTTGGTGGTTTGGAACATGAATTTTATTTTCCCATATATTGGGAATAATGATCCCAACTGACTAATATTTTTCAGAGGGGTAGGTCAACCACCAACCAGTGATGCTTCACATACATTTTGTGCATATGTTGTGCCTAAAGTTCCTCTTCGGTACTGGGGCTGATACATGAGATTCCAATGGGTCTGAAATGATCAGACAAAATGTTCACCCCACTGGGAAGATCCAGTTCTGAAGGGACATGATGTTTTCATGGGTTATTGTCATGTGGGTTTGGCTGCAAATATGCCACCCCTAAAATTAAACCTATTAGCAAATATAGCAAATCAGGTTTCATGTTCATGTCCATATTTTCCATGGTAGAATCATGTAAAATATTGTATAACATTCATTTTTTGGGTATGCAGCGTACAGCAGTTTCAGATACTATACATCTCCAACGCTCATCTTCCCCACTTCAATCCTCATGTTTCATGGTAAATCCCCGTTTCCAGCCGTTTCCCCTAGACAGTTGTAATATCAATCCAACCATTTTCCTCAGTGAATGAAATTTAGTGAATCAAGTGAATTCACCATATTTTCCTAGTGAATTTGAGTGAATTCACCATAGTTTCCTTAGCCAAATCACCATTTCTTACAGTTTCCGATCGCCCTTCCAAGGATCAATTTGCTGGAAGGAATCGTGGAGATGATCCTGGACTTCTGGCGCGAGCCTGAACGCCAAGAGATGCTGGGCCCAACGACCTCACTGCGACCTCACTGGAAATCATGGTTAATAAGGGGAATCACCCCCAAATGGCCGCAACATTCAGTTTAGTGAAATATTATAATTTGCCCAGATAGTTGGATTTTGAGCAACAAAAATGGTCCATGGTCCATGTCTTCCATAGCTATGTTAGTTTACTAGAATGTTAAGGCAGAAACATGGGAATATGTTGCTGGTTGGTGGTTTGGAACATGTTTTATTTTTCCATATGTTGGGAATAATCATCCCAGCTGACTAATATTTTTCAGAGGGATTGAAACCACCAACCAGCTTGGATTTTGAGGAAGATGGGAATCTAATAGTTGATGTAGTTGATTTATGTTGATTTATGATAGTGAAGTTGGTTCAAAATAGGTTAGGTTAAATGATTTCGAGTGGTTTGGGTTGATTTGGTAGATATATTGACTATATGGCCGCAGCTCAAAATCTAAGGTCCGGATCAGGGCTATAGGTTATGAACCACTTATTAAGTGGGATGATACTTCAAGTACCAGCCACCTTCTGATTTGCAGATGACTTCCCAATATCTTCAACGCAGGGTGGCAAGATGATTAAGATGTGACAGGATGTGGCCCGCAGCATAGCAAAATCATGCAAGGTCTGAAAACTTAGCCATGATGATAACGGTTTGTTTGAGAACATGGTACCCCAAATCCCTTGGTATAATGATCAGGTTCCCTATGAATATGTGGCCTTATATTGGGGTATACCTCATGTTCAGATACTGTAAGTTCAATTGGGACAATTGGGGTTTCCCATTTTTTCCGAATATATTTTGGTTTATTGGAACATCCCCTATAAATGGGAGGTTTATATACGTATATATATATATATATACATATTTGTTTATTTAATGGGAGGAACAATTACATCTATAGATGCTGGATTTTCCAGCACAACACGTTTGATTGTCTGAGTTTCTGTTTTTTGTTGGGGTCTTCCCCTCGTGAAATTACCAATGTTTCATGGTAAATCCACCATATCCCACATGGGATGACCGTGAGGAAAGAGTTGCCACTGCTGGAGACTGTGGAAGAAGAGATGGATGAACACATGGAAGACATGGAGGACAGCGCGACAGCATGGAGATTCCACCAGTGTCAACCAGCCCAAAAAAAAATGACTCCCCTCAAAAAAAGGGCTTAGTGAGGTTTAGCAACCATGAGCCACTTGGATTTTCCAGAGATGTTCTCTGGGTTCTATTTGTGCAAATTGTTGGGGGCAAATCTCCGAATTTTCACATCCCCAACTTCTCAACATTTGCCTTGTTGTTCTTGTTCTTGTTCTTGTTCTTGTTGTTGTGGTTGTTGTTGTTGTTGTTGATGATTCTGTATGGCAGGAGTCGATGAGGTCTGAGGTTGAACATAGTTGGACTTTCCTTTTCCATCTCCTGGGAAAAGGGGAGAGAAGTGATTGAGTGAGTGGTTTTTGGCGCAGGCTTGGGCTACTTATGGCTACTTCAGTGAAAAATGCGGGATTGAAATGGTCATTCTACCAGTGAAACCTCGGAGCCGAGTAGCAGAGCATTTTCAAATCGATGGGCATGGAAACTGTAGCAAACCCACACGTCTTAAGTTGCAAACAGCAAACACCTGTTTCTGGGAATGCCACTACACCCATATTATATACATATACACTAAGTATATAAGACTATATACCATCACAGCCAAGAACCTATAAAAAAGCAGGTCGCAACTCAAGAACCTGGTTTTCATTGACCCTCATGTGAAAAACCTGGTTTTTACATAAAACATATATATATATATATATATCACCATATGGATATTTCATTATATATCATGAACTATCATTTTATGCCATATCATTGCATTGTCACAACATGTCATGGTATTTCATACCCCTTTATAATAATTCACAACACATCATTGCATGATCATATCACTTCATGGCATTTCATGTCCCATCTTGGCATTTCATACCCAATCATGGCATTTCTTAGCATTTCATGCCGTATCATGGCATTTCATGGCATTTCATGCCATATCATTGCATTTCATACCACATCTTGGCATTTCATATTCATACCGTATCAAAGCATTTCACACCACATCATGGCATTTCATACCATATGTTATTTCATACAACTTGCATTTCAATCATATCATATCATTATCATATCATATCAATATAATATCAAACGCCTTCAGGTCTGGACGCTGAACCGGCCGGCATCAACCGATGCTGTGGATCAAGTTCACGGGGGTTTGGTGGCACTTGGAACAAATCAACGAAGCCATCTCTTCCATGTACCGACAGGATGTTTGGATGAAGAAAGATGTTGCAAATGACATTGGCAACAAGGGACTTTCCTTTGTGGAGACCTACGGTCGTTTGGCGCGATATGCCTTTGACAATTCAAAGGCTTTGTGGGCTCTGATGCCGAAGGGGCATGTCGTCCATCACATATTCAGTGACCTCTTTGAAGCTGCTGACGAATGGGTGATTAACCCACTAGTATTCGCCGTGCAAATATCAGAAGACTTTGTGGGCAAAAAAATCGCGTCTAGCCCGTCGAGTTCATGCGACGCAAGTCATCAAACGGGTTTTGGAGCGATCGTTGGTATCATCCTACCAACACTGGACGGATGCAGGATTCTTTCAGGGATGAGGAGAAGAAAAGAGAGGAAAAGTGCGCGGTGTGATGTGGACATGAGAATCTGATGATTTTACATGGTCACATGAAGAATTGTTAAATTTGAAAATATCAGCATTTTTGAAGAACCTGGTTTTGCATGCGAAATATTGATTTTTTTTTAGAACCTGCTTTTATGCAGGGTTTCGGTTCTTCTGGTATATATATATAGAGATAGGTACAATATCCGATTAATTACAGAGGTTGCAGTTGTAGGCAGCATTAATAAAACTTCCATGTGATCACATCACGTTTTCTTCATGTACGGTTCACCCCGGTTGACACGTGAGATCACCGCAGGAGTGGTTGGAGAAGAATGCGGAGGAGGTGAAGCAGGTGGCCCGCGCCGCCTACAACCGCATCCCCGACAAGTTCCTTGCACGAAACCAGCGAGCTGCGGTTGCAGCTTGTGAAGAACATGATTTAGCCCATCGGAAGCGGATGATATATTATATAGATATGTATAACATTGTATAACTATTAATTTGTCTATCTATCTATCTATCTACCTATCTATCTATCTATCTAATCTAATCTAATCTAATCTAATCTAATCTAATCTATCGATCTATCGATATATCGATCTATCGATCTATCTATATACATAAGTTAGAACCCCAGATTTAAGTGGGACAAGTCTGGATAAGGCTTAGTCCAGGTAGAATTTAGATTATAGTTAACCCACGTGCTTGAAAGAACAATTACTGTTGGCTTGGTACTTGATGACTCTTGATGTTAAATGATTAATTCATTGTGATACATTGATACCGAGAACCAGAATGGTAACCATGACAGCAGTAATCACAACAATTCCGACAATGATGATGGTTATACTCCCGATACAATGATTTTTTTCATAATCAGAGGGAGAGATATTCTTTAAACTACCAACCTCGGTTACCAAAGTTGGTGTATAAGTTTGTGGCTTTCTGGTACCGGTGTATCGCTTGTTGCCATTTCTTGGGTTCCCATCGTGGCCCGCAAGGCTCGAATTGGAGATGCTTGGCCGAACATTTGAGCGTAGATTTGCACATGTTGGATTGATATGTTCGAAGTTCAGTACCTGTATAGTTTTGAAAGTTGACATTTTTTTGCGTCCAAACTCGAGGCTTGGAGATGATTTTCCAATTTTTATAGCAGCTAGCTGGGTGACGTGACAAATGGGTACATGTACCAACTGTACCAATCCCTGTTTACTTCATTCATGTGGGTAAAACAATGTGATAAACCATCCCCCAGTCATCAGCATTTTTATAGGTGGTATGAGTAAATGTGCAGTAAGGTCTTGCATCTTGGCAGCAGCCAGGGGTTTGCAGCGCTTGTGAGCTACCTATCCTTCAGCGGCATGACGCCAATTCTGCTGGTTGTGAGGTTCATTGTGGGTCCTGGCCTAGCACTGCAGAAAAAACATTCGTCGGTTGAGGTGGAGGCCGAGCGTTTGGCAAGAGCTGTCAACGCTCTGGATGCCAAGACTTACATCAGCTCGATTGCCAAGGGCCCCGGAACTTTGCCAACAGCCTCGGCTTCCTTGTTTCCTTTTTGTGCCTACCTCAGGTTGGACGCAGCACGCCTAATCAGTTGGCAAAGCCTCCGGGTGCTATCCACCGTCGCCGTGAAGCTTGCATCAGAGTCTGGGTCAACATTTGCCAATGTCTCTAACAAATATATGATCGAGATGAAAGCCCTTCCATCGTTGTTACCACGGACACGCACCACGTTTTGCAATGGATGGGTGGTTTATTATATATATATATATTGTTTTACCCACATTAATGATTACTGATCTAAGTATAATGACCATCAATGACCACTAATGATGTTTAACGATTGATTAGGACATGGAGTTACCATTGATTAGATTACCAATAATTACCCATGACATGCAATTACCCATCAGTATTATAGCTGGATTATGGTCATCTCACCAATGGTTATTATGGTTGGTAATTACAATGCTTTGTCATCATGAATGATGATTATTGGTTTTTTATGGTCATTGATTAGCTGAGTACCATTGCTACATTTACTGGTAATCAATGGTAATCAGCTAATCAATGATCATAATAATGTAAACAATGACTGGTAACGTTAACTTGTCATGTTACCGTAATCAATTACTGTACCATTACTGTACCATTACTGGTAATCAATTGTCATTACCATTTTCAATCAATTGTTGGTAATGGTCATCAATGTTTACTTCATTACAAGCTGGTGCCCCCGTTCGAGAACGCTAAGTTGGTGAGCCTAACTCCAATATCTATGGTTTTTGTTGGTGATATATCATGATATATCGAACTACACCCTGGTAAATTAACAGTTTGACCCTGAAAATCACCAATCTTTAATGGAAACTAGTCTTCCAACCCCGATGACTGCCAGGGTCTATGTTAATTTACCAGAGGGTAGTTTTCATGGGCTTTTCCCAATTTCTCACTGGGGAACCACCTTGTAGGAACCAGTGATGGTGAAGTCATAGAGACTCTGAGGCCTGATATATATATATATATATATAGGCCTTAAAAATATGGCAATCTATGGTAGGTACCATGAAAACCATCATGTATAACCAGTTTAAAACTGGGGGGGCTTTACTTCACTAGCATTAGATGACGGGTCAGTCCAGTCCAGGATCATGATTGCCTCACCTATTCTCCACGTGCCTGTGACCCTGGGCACCGCCATCTTCAGCTTGGGCGAATTGCCACTTGCCATGGGAAAATGACGGGAAAATGATGCGAAAATGATGGGATCACTGTAACCGGCACAAATTGTGATGTGGTTTAATTATGTGTAATTGGATTGTAATGGGACTTAAACCACCATAGACCATAGTTCGCTAAATTGCTTGAAATACGGAGGTGAAGTGTTGGCTTCATGGCAGACATATCTAGCTTGAGTTGTAAATTTCATAATCATAGCTCGGTTCCACATTATGTCGCAGGGCCTGTTTGATTTGGGAGTTTGGGAGTCGTGAGGTGTTTCGGAAGTTCTACGTAGTGGGGTGTTGTGTTGAGGTTACTTTAGTTGATACCATGGATCCAATCCCCCTGGGATTAGTTCCCTCTGGTTATGACGTTCACAGTTTGCCATGGTTTGTTGATGGCCCGGTTCGAAATAGATGGTTTACCGAACTTAAAAATGGTGGATCTTTCCATGGCTATGTTAAATAACCAGAGGGTATGTAACCTATATGTCAGACATGTTGCACTAAATATGGTTTGCTCTTATGCTTGTAGTGATAACTCCTTTCATTCAAAGGATCATCATGCCCAATTCACTCCTACTCTTCAAGTTGTTTCAACCCACATGTATCCAGATTGGAATGATCTCCAAATGCTACTGCAGTAATATGCAGTAAGACCATAAAACCAATTACCCTCTGGTAATTTAACAAAGCTATTGGAAATGGCCATAGAAATAGTCAGTTTTCCCATTAAAAATCGTGATTTCCCATAGTTATGTAACAGTCTACCAGAGGGAAAAACCCTTGTTATAAAGCCCTTGGAGCCCCCTCAAGTTATCATTCCAAGGCACTTGAAGACCAACTGCCCTTGCGAGTACAAATGCGACTGGGCCAGTGACCGCGGAGCGGGTTGGGAAAACCATGGGAAAACCCATGGAAAACCAATCGCTCGCCCTTTAGGTAAACGCTGGTATTGTTTGTTTAAGCCTGGTTCCATTGACGGCCATGCGTGTTTATACCGTGGATGTGCTGGCCCGCTGTTTGCTGTTCATATGCAGAGGTGTTTCCCTGGAAACAGACTATAATTCGCCGCCTTGAATTATGTCTATGAGAAGATGAAAAATGTCAAGTTAGGATTAACAATGCCTCCCCAATTGACTATACGCTGGCTCTTCCCCGATTTTAGGACAATACTAAAGTCGACTACAGTAGGTTTATCTCTCTCCAATTAAACATACCCCTCCGGAACCCCGAGATTTTGGTGGTACAAATTTAGCATTGTTCCCTTTTATTTTCAATTTGGAAATCTAATTTCTTATTTCTTGATCTCTCCTGATTAATGATTAATTTTACCACCCCAGAAAAATATTAAACAAAAAACTATCATCCCCGAAATGATCAAATTCTCCTCACTTTTTGCATAGCAAAATATAGTTCTGGAAGCTCACAAAGCGTAGCCCCCATGAGTGGTCTCGCCCTCCCAATTAAAAGTGAGCGTCCCCCCAATTCATAAAACCCAGCTCTCAGCCCTATGTGTTTGTTGTTGGGTTTTGCCCTTGTCCTTTCTCTTTTCCTAAGTTGTCCTTTTCCTTTTTTCATTTATTCTGGCTGGTGGTTTGGAACATTTGCTATTTTCCATCATATATGGGATAATGCTTCCCATTGACGAAGTCATATTTTTCAAGATGGTTTTTTAACCACCAACCAGGAATGATGTGAAGATCATGAATTCATCCGGTTTTTTTTTCTCGAAGATGCCTCAAGAAACCGTCGAAATTTACCTTGTCGACCTTGTTGACCTCTAGAGGGGAGTACTTTGCAACTAATCCGTTGCCACTCCATGGACTCCACCTGCATTTCAGAAGCGAAGCTACTTGTGAAGACCAGGCTGTAGGATCGTAAAACTTTTCTATTTAAACACATTTATCAGATCTATCAGAATCTATCATCAAATAACCCAAGCTTTTCCAGTCGATCAGACTGACGCATGGATTTTACCGTGTCTTCTGCGAATCCGTCGAGGCATGGATTTGGATTTGCGCCTCACCCACACTACCCTGCGGGCCACTTCTCATCGACAGGCGGCTTTGGTCTTTCGGTGTTGGTTGATGGCTGGAAAAGCCTTATTTCCTCATTGAGACATCATTGGAATAATGGTTTCTAGATGGGGAATCATCCCCAAATGGCTTTATTTCAGTTATTTTCAAGTTAGTGAACTAGTGCAGGGGTTGGTAACTGTCCCATTTTGGGAATATTGGACATCACCTTATAGTAGCCATGGCATTGACCATATACCTAATGGTTGGGTGATGTTCAATGGGGACATTTAATGACCCATGTAGTGATACTAGTGTATTGTTTGTTTTTGTTTTTTTGAGTGTGTTTCGTTCAACTGTCAAAGACATAGGGGAATTCATGGGGATAAATTTACATATTCTGATGATGGCTGATTGGTAGTGAAAAAAGAAAGGGAAACCAAAGACTTACCAGATACGTAAAGGGATAAAATCCTATCATCTACCCTCTGGTAATTTAACATAACTATGGAAAATCACAATTTTTAATGGGTAAACTCGCTATAAATGGCCATGTTCAATGGCTATATCATCAGCTGGGCACCCACTATTATCAAACTTAGGGATGACGGACGAGGTTTTTTCAGACCAACAAGACTTGGAAAAATCTCCGTGCTTTGACAAGACGGGACTTGCGGGAGGTCGCCTGAAAAGATATGGAAAGGCAATTACCCCCTGGTAAACATACAAAAAACTATGGAAAATCACCATTTTCAATGGGAAAATCCACTATAAATATTATAAATCACCATTTTCAATAGCAAACTGTTAGTTTACCAGAGGGTAAATTTGTCCAATTAAAATGGATTGACGTGGTATGGTGTTACATTGTGATAAAGATGCACTCTTTTTCAGGGTAAACCCATGTAAACCCCATGTAATTTTTATGTTACCGTGCATCTCATGGCATGGTGCCTAACATCGCCAAGAAAGAGTCCCGAATCCCAAGGACCAACACCACCAGTCACCAATCATTGTGGTGATCATCGTGATCACATTAATGTCAACTGGTAACATTGGCATGTTTCATGGAAGCATGGAAGCTTTCTGGCTAGCACCTGGGTACCCAAACGTCGCCCAACCGAGTGCGGTGGGTCACCGGGGATGATGCGCAGGAGCAGTTCGACATGATTCAGCCCGTGCCGGTGAATGTCATCATCGAATACAGGCACCAAAAAATTCACGATGAAACGGATGAAATCCCACAGTTATGGCCATTTATTAGTTACCCTCTGGCAAACTAACATAGCTATTGAAAATGGCCATATATAGTGGATTTACCCATTGAACATGGTGATTTTCCATAGTTATGTTAGTTTACCGGAGGGTATAAGTGGGATTACAAATGGGATGAGACACGTTCTATAAATGAGGTTTTGTTAGTACTTACAACTGGTATTTTGGGCCATAACTGCAGGATTCTTGTGGGACCAAACTCCGTGGACACGACGGACGTCTGGAGCTTCGTCATGCTCAACAGATGGATCATTGTGTTTTTCATCCAAAGAGACGGGGGCGTATGGAATTGTACAATGTGGGGCCCCCAGTTATATAGTGGGTTTATAAACCCCATCTGGTTGGTGGTTTGGAACACTTTTTATTTTTCCATAGATTGGGAATAATGATCCTAATTGACTTTCACTCCATGATTTTTCAGAGGGGTTAGCAGCAACCACCAACCAGCCATTAACTATAGTTCTAGGTATCAAAAACCATCGTTATTGAAGTGATGTTCACCTACTTAGCGTTTAAGAAAACAGCCCCACATGGGATGACCGGTATCGCGGTATCGCTTGGAAAAGCCAGCATTTTCCAGTGGGGTTCACCAGCTTTCCCGGTGGTGACTTGGATACTCCCATTTTTTCCCATGAAAATCCACATGACCTCAGGAGTTGGAAGTCCAGTCTAGTGTGCTGTGTGTGTGTGTACTACCAAATGGGGTACTGGTTGGTGGTTTGGTTTAATAGGGTTTAATAGGGTTTCATGGTGATTAATGGTGAGTAATCATGGTGATTAATGATAAATTATCTGGTTGGTGGTGACTGGAACCATGGACTTTTATGACTTTCCCATCATCTTGGAAATGGAATAATCATCCCAACTGACGAACCCCATGATTTTTCAGAGGGGTAGGTCAACCACCAATCAGTATCAAATGGGGTACCTCCCTGTACCTCCACATTTTTTTCAGTTGGCCATCGCCCATTTCCGCATGACAACCATGTACTTCAGGGGCCTGGAGGAAAAGAACATGGTCAGCGTGCACATTGAAGCCGAGGCGATGGCAGGGTTGGCGATGGCTGGGGGAATTTCCGAAGGGGAGAAGTATAGGGATGATACGGCCCCAAAATGATGGTTTATTTTTGATGATGTTGGATCAGTATGGTTCGTAGTTGTGTCCGCTGGGTAAATCCAATAATGAACCATCCCCAAGAGTTAGTTATTATGTTCCCGATGTATGTGTCATTATGTACCGTTACAGCATGGTAAACACCATATATTTCCACCTCAAATCCCATGGACATCATTTTAGATCCTAATCCGATAAAACCATCATTTTTCTTGCTTGAAAGCACTGTGTTTCTCCTAAGGATTCTAGGGGAAATTGTCCTTGGCTGCCAGGAAGAGATGCGTTTATCCTTGGCCCCGCAGGCTTTGCAGATCCTGTCGCTCGGGCTTATCATCGTTAGCCCTTGAGGTGATGGTGTGTTTTTTCCCGGGAATGTTTGGCGGAGATTCCTTCAGCAAATCGAAGTCGTTAAGACCAAGGAGCCCAACTTACCACTTCAAGAGTCATGCCACCGATGTCACCCCCCATCCCATCATTGGATGTTTCATGCGGACAAATCTATGGAGATCTCAGCCAGAAAAACGCAAGTTTCGGTGTTTTTCATGGTAAAAAAAAACGCCAGAGGTCTCAGTTTCTTTCGCCCGGGATTTCTTTGGGGTACATCCCCAAGGTTG